TAGAATAGAATAGAATAGAATAGAATAGAATAGAATAGGGATATCAGACAATACATATAAGCAGGGTACATTTTGCTCCATGTGCTGTGCCGTGATGTAAATATATTTCTTACTGGGTGTTCAGAGATAACTAAACAAGTGTGAAACCTCTGCCCTGGGGAGACGTGTAGAGAAAGGGCACCTCTTGCTGCCCAGCACTTGCAGCTGAAACAGGGCCTCCTTCCGGTCCAGTGGCCTCGGCTGGGGAGCCCAGGACCCGGTGAGTCAGTGGCTCTGAGCATCTGGAGCATCGGTTGCTCCGGGACCAACTGCACGATGACTTCTTTCCTCTCTAGTCTGGGGAGCAGTCCACTCTGGGGGTGGGGCGGAGCCCAGGTTATTTATTTTTAAAATATATTTTTATTGATTTCAGAGAGGAAGGGAGAGGGAGAGAGAGAGGGAAACATCAATGATGAGAGAGAATCATTGGTCGGCTGCCTCCTGCACCCCCGGGCATGTGTCCTGGCCGGGAATCGAACCATGACCTCCTGGTTCAATGGTTGATGCTCACCCCTGAGGCATGCCAGCTGGGCCAGGTTACTTTTATTGTCCCCATTTCATAGGTGCAGGTAGAGGCTCAGTGACTTGCCCAAGATGGCGCTGCCTGGGAAGCAGGACTTCAGCAGGTCTCCCATCTCATTTCAGTCGTACTGTTTTCAGAATCCAAGGCAATATATTCTGGGAAATGTGGAAGGGATAAAGGAATAAAGGAATGAATGAATGAATGTGGTTGCAGAAGCTGGGCTAAAGCTCTCTCCTTGATTCTATAGCAACAGTTCTCAGCCAGGGGTGATTTTGCCCTGGGGCACTTTGGACATGGCCCCTGGACCGTGGTTGGGTCTAACAAGAAGGCCAAGGGGTCAAAGGGCTGAGGAACAAAACCATCCCTGCCAGTCTGTCCCTGTCTTGTTCCCCAGCTTTTTGCCTCTGAGACAATTCCCCTTCGACCCTCCTGGGCAGTAGATGTGAATGGTACTCACCCAGCTCTGGGGGCCTGAGGAAGGTGAGGGCAAGGCTCCTGAGGGTCGGCTCTTTTCTGCCCCTACTTTTACCTTCGATGCCAGTGTAGTTGCTCCTGTAGAGGTAAGTCAGGCACCTCTGAGCCCACAGAAGGACTGAGGTCCCTTGGCCAAGGGGCATCCAGCCACTGAGGCGCCTGCCAGAGCAGGGCCGAGAAGCGGGGCAGTGCCAGGCCTCAGCTCCTCCTGGTAGAGGGCATGCCTGGAGCAGGTAAAGGCCGAGTCCATCCACCTGGCCGCCAGGAGCTCCACGGGTTGTCCTGCAGCGCCTGGCCACCAGGAATGGTCAGAAGCAGCATGAAGAGCTGCTAAGAGCCCATGTGCAGTGAGGCCACTGCCGAATAGCCTTCCGGAGCCACTACAAGTGCCTCTGGGCACCGAACCCCAACTTGCCCTGACGCCGTCAATAGCAGCAAATCCACCAGAGCTGCAAAGCAGGGCATTTGCCCAGAGAGCCAGCCCCCACGCTCAGGTCTCCATGCCTTACTTACGCACTTTCTTCCTGTGACTGGGCGCCCCCCAGGTGTGAGAGGCCAGGTGCCAGCGCTGTCCTGTCCTGAGGAGCCCTCACGTGGATCAGGCCCAGTGCTTGCTGCGTGGGCTCCCTGGCCTCTAACCGCGGACACAGCCCATGTCTGGGCAATGCTCAGAGGCTCTTGAGGAAACGTCCCCTCCAGGCACAGCAGACCAGACCAGTGACCAGGCCAGACCAGTGACCAGGCCAGATGTGGGAGTGAGGCTGGGCTCAGCCCAGAAAAAAAACTCTCAGCTGCTGAGCTCTCTCCCAGGGCCAGCAGGACGCCCACAGCAGCTGTGACTACCGCTCCCAGCCAGCTCCATGAGGCCAGCAAGCCCATGCAAGCTGGTTTCTTCAGCCACATTCCCGGGAATGTCCGGGATTCCGACGTGTGCCAGGCCTGGGCTCCTGCACAGGTAGCCTCGGTTTCCTCAGCTGTAAGATGAGCAGAGAGGCCTCCCCTGCTGTTTCAGCAAGGAAGGGGTGAGAACAGGCACCCACAGCAGGGGCTGAGGCCTGCCACCCACATGCTCCCTCCTTTGAAGGACCCCAACTGAGGACACAGACAAGGACATTGTCCCTGAAACAGCAAGCAGAAGGGCTGTGGGCAATTGCACAGAGAGGTCAAGAGCTTGGCCTACGACTGACCATCAGGGCAGGGGTCCAGGGCAAGCCAGATGTGGGTGGGTGTGGTGGTGGAGGCCGTGCACGGGAGGTCTGCATAGTCACCGGCTGGAACGGGCCATCTGTCACAGCTCACTACCCTGCGCCACTCCTCAAGGCACGCCTTAGTCAATGACTCAAAAACCACCCAGAAAGAGGAGTGAGAGAAATCAATTCCAATTTCTGAGGGCCTCTGGGTGTGATAAAGCCAACCCCTGTCATCTCTGCTGGCTTCCTGCTCTCCCTTTCCTGAGAAGTGGAAACACCATTCAATTAAGGTAATTAAATTCACCCAAAGAGCTTGGGCTCAAAAACCACACCACAGGCAAGTGGTCAAACCAGGAGCAGAGCAAACCCCAGTGGCTTCCTGTGCAGGCCACAGGGAGGCTGAACCACCTCCTTCAGCACTCGAGAGCGTCCCTCCCGCTCTGCACCCGCCACCGGGGCCTCCCCACACGCCCCTCCCCACAGGAGGGCCCTGGGCTAACCGGCCTAAGCGTCAGAGAAAAACTGAGCTGAGATGTTGGGACGTGAATAGACATAAAGGCCCTCCTTGCCTCCACGCACCCTCACCTATCCTCAATCCTCCCTTGAACTCCGACCCGCGAGCCCAAGACACACCCCTGTGCATCTGAGCCGTGACGTGGTCAGGGTTGCACCCTGAACAAGGTGCAGGGTGGTCAGGTGAATCCCAGCCCAGTTCTCTCTTTGATGCTGTGTAACACTGAGCCCTAGTCCACACCGCTCAGTGCTTTGACTTATCCACCTAGAAAATGGTGATAATACGGCCTGGTTACCCCCCTTGTGGGGGTCATGGGAACTAAACAAGAGAATGGGTGCTGAGGTGCACGGTGCCCTGCAAACGAGCTGTCCTAGGGGGCACTCACTGTATTGCCCGCCCCCACTGGGATCCATCTTGGGTCCTAAAAGTTGGTGAGGACCCCAGGTTGTCAGATAAAACAGGACCTTCAGCAAAATTTGAATTTCAGATGAACAATGAATGCCTGTTTTTAGTTTAAGTGTGGGATGATTAATTCTATAGATAACTCTGATGAAAAGTATAGTCAAATGTTGCATGGGACGCATACTAAAAAAGTGTTTATGGACACAGAACATTCTCTTCCCCTCTCTGAGGCCCCACCATGTCATCTCGGAAATGGAGCAGACAGTGCAGTTCCCATGGATGACTATAGGACTGGAGCTGGGGCCTCCGGGTCACCCCCAGGACTGGTTCGTGGGCCTGTCACACGTCCTCAGTCACGGGGCTGGGCTGAGGCGTCATATGTGGAGAGCTGGGTCAGGGCTCCTAGGGGGTGACACGGACAAGTCCCCTCTCCTGGCCACTTCCTGTCCTCACAGCTGGGGCAGATCAGCAGGTGTGGTCTGTGGGGCTGGCAGCCTGGGCTTCTGAGGGCCAGGAGCCCCATGGGCAACACGGAGAACTCGGGCAGCAGAGCTCCCGCCTCCGTTTGCGCACTGCACACTTGCAGCAAGCCTGTCACCACCTCCCGGGGCCCGAGAAGGGCACTCAACAAGGGCAGCTGAAACATTGATCAGTGACCTCCACGCAGCAGCATCCTGTCCGTCAAAGACCAACATGGCAGGAACCTCACTCCCAGGAGCTCAAAGCCTTGTTAGAAAGACAGAGTCACAGCAGACACCAGGGAATAAAGGAACACAAGTGATTTGAAAAGATAATTCTCCTGGGAATAGGAGGACTGAGGAGGCCGTGCTCAGCACCTGGTGACGGGCAACAGAGAGAGACAGAGGGACCGCCACCTCAAGGAGCCTGCGGGACCACCTGGGCCTATAGCTCCCTCCCCAGTGCACCACAGGCTGGAGGGAGGGGGTGGGGCGACCTCCAGCTCCCTCACTACGAGTTCTTTGGGGGTCACACAGAGGCATTTGTAAGGGACCAGAGAGAGCAAGCATTGTTTCTGCAAAGTGCAGTATATTCCAGCCCATGATAGTTCAACAGTATCGGCAACATGACGCGGGAAAAAGCATCACGTGAGAAGACATTTGGAAGAGTTAGAATTTAGTAGTGACCATGCAAAAGATATTTCATTGCTCGTCATGAGAAACCGTTGATTCAGGGGGGTGCTCGCTCCGATTTGGCTTGTTTGACACATCCTGATTCAAATAGACAGCCCTGGCAATGAGGAGGAGACCATGAGGAAGGCCTTGTGGAAGCCCTGACGGTCTGCCTTTAGGATGCGTGCGGTGGATTCATTTTAATTAGTTTACACTTCATTCTCTGCACTCTTAAAACTCTCCTGGGCAGCTTTTTGGTTCTTTTAGCTGTAAAATAGATAGTGAAGCCTCCTGCCAACAATAAATCGAACACTGTGCTACTGCGTGACGAGTGGATTAAAATTCGGCGGCTCTGATTTCCTCCATTGCAAAGCCTGCGTCATTAATTCACATGGGAGAGAAAGGGCCTGTGGTCAGGTCCGACTAGCAAAGCAATGCGCAGCCGGGCCAATCATATTAGAAGTCCCAGGGGCTTACAACAGGCTCCTGGAGATTTTTGGACCACAGACAAGTGAATGAATATTGGAAGGAATATAAGTTGGTCTCATAATGGTTTTCACCGAAAATGACTATGCTTGGAATTTTGTTGAGTTCAAGTGCAGATTTTTTTTAAAATGAAGGCCAAGTGCATGGCTGCTATTTAAAGATATCTTTTGCACTGAACATGTGCTTGGCCTTTTGGTCACTTGGGTTCCACTGAAATTATGTTTCCTCTTTTTTCTAGATGGGCAGTGAGGACAGCAAACATAAGCATGAGAAGAAGTTTTAAAACTACGGATCCCAAAACCCAGCAAGGCAGCACCGGCAGTCCTCACTGCCGTGACAGGTATGGAACCGATGGAACCGCCAGCTCAAGAGCCAGCGCCTAGAAGCACCTTTAGTTGTTAGGGGGGTCGGGGGGGGCGGGTGGTGAGGCCAACCATGGGACTAAACCCAGGTGAATCAGATCGGGACTGAAGAAATGATCTGAGTGAAGTTCTCAACGGGGGTGGGTCTCCTCCTGCCTGAGGCAGAGGAATGGGTCATTTTCTGAGTCCTCTAATCAGTGAGCTTCCCTCATTCCTACGACTCAAACCCAAAGGCAGCTAGGGTTTGTGGCCACCCACAGCAGAAACAGACACTGGACAAATTCAGCAGAACGGGTGACTACTGAACGGAAATGGGAGCCCTTATAGACTCAAGGTGAAGGTTCAGTTCCAGGCGGGGGAAGGGCAAACAGGGTTCTGACGCTGCACAGGACGCCCGAGCACATTCCCATCCTGCAGCTCCAGGACAATGCACAGTGGGCTAAGCTGGTCTCACCCTGCACGGGCCCAGCGAGGTCTCAGCAGGCGCCTTGACGCTCAGCCCCACCAAGACTGAACACGTAGAGGGAGGGACTTCCGACACATGCTACGGCATGGTTGAGCCTTGAGGACATTATGCTGAGGGAAATAAGCCAGTCACAAAAGCACAAATATTGTATGATTTCACTATATGAGGTACCTAGAGTAACCACGTTCATAGAGGCAGAGCGTGGCTGCAGGGGCTGGTAGGAAGGGAGAATAGGGAGTTGTTGTTTAATGGGTACAGAGTTTAGTTTTGCAAGATAAAAAAGTTCTAAAGATGAATGGTGGTAATGTTTGCACAACAATATGAATGTGCTTAACACTACTGAACTATACACTTAAAAATTGTTAAGATGGTAAATTTTATGTTATAGATATTTCACCACGATTTTAAAATAAAGAAGAGCTGTGGCTAGTATAGTTCAATTGGCAGATCAAAAGGTGACAGGTTCAATTTCCAGTCAGGGCATATACCCGGGTTGTGGGTTCGATCCCCAGTTGGGGCAGGGGTGGAAGGCAATGGCAATGGATCTCTCTCTCTCTCTCTCTCTCTCTCTCTCTCTCTCTCTCTCCTTCCCCTCTCTAACATTAAAAAAAGAAGGAGAGAATGTAATGAAGGGACAGAATTAGGGAGATCCAGGATGTGGAGTCGCTGAATCAGTGTGAAGCCAACCTCTGCAGCCCCAGTGGGGAGGGCAGCAGGCTCCTCCATTGGCCACACCAAGGGCAAGGCAGAGAGTGAGGGAGCCAGAAGTCAGCTCTGGAGGACTGGGCCCTCTTGGGCAGCTGTGGGACAAGGTCAAGCAGCGAAAAGACAGCTTACTGGCTCCTAAGCTCCATCTTACCTCTAATGATGGAATAGGCATCAAAGAAGTGAATTTAATTTTAGGTTGTGCTCCCTGCAACCAAGGAAATAAGCCAGCCACTGTGCGAGACAGTGAGAAGGGATACCCCGTGGATGGCCAGAGAAGATACCTCTACTGCCTGGAGCCGGTCCATCCTTGCTGTTTCAAGGGAGCTGGCATATATGGCATACTGTTCTTACTATGTTTGCTCACCTTCTTGGCACTATGTGTTTTAACCAAGGTCACCTCTCTGAGAAAGGTTGTTTCCCCAGGTAGGGATTTTCCCCTGAAGTTAGGGAGGGAATAAAACCCCTTAACTAAGTGCC